GGAGAGATAGAAGTAGCTCTGTCTAAGAAGACAGAGGCTGTGCTTTTGCTCCAACTCCAGCTTACATTTTCAAAAGAAAAAAAAAATCTAATCTGTCTAGACTTGATCACCCAGGATGTTTCGCTCTAATCCCCACTGCCGAAGGCTGACACTGCACTAATAGCGGCAAGCCTGTGAGCACACAAACATCCTGCTGTTACTCAGCAGTGGGATCATAAGAGATGTCTCATAATAGAGCCGTGTCATGTCAGCAGCTTCTCTGAGTGGACTGAGCCACTTATTTGATTTGCCATCTTTGCCGGTGTGTATGTGTATATATATATATATATATATATATATATATATATATATATATATATATATATATACACCCCACATGTCTTCACATGGTCACCATGAGTCATGTCTTCCCCCCTACTTGGGATGCTTCCTCCCTCACAGACGTCAAATCATACAACGCACTGCATTAGGCAACTTTGTCATATGACTCAGTGCTATGTCATCTTGATGCCATTTCAACTTGAGTCAACCGCCTGGCAACAGAGAGGTCGGTGGTTTGATGGACCTGCCACTCTGTTATTGCTAGCAACATCATCTTTTACCCTCTGACTCCAAGAAAGCAGTCCATTTTTGGCTGTCTCAAGCTCTACTCAGAAGCCTTAAAATCAGTAGAGCACTGTACACCTCAGGACAGTCAAGTGACTAAAATGTGACCTAACAAAGACCAATACTGAGAGTAGGCATCAGATACTTAATTTTTATATCAGCTGGTGATGCAGGAATTTCACCAGCTACTTTGACGGTTTATGATCAAACTTAAAGTGTCTATGAACTGCGATTATTAACTCATGTTTATCTAGCTAATCAATAGACTTTACCAATAACTCTACCAAAGCTATCGTTCACCATGTGCTTTTTTTTCTACTCAACTCAAATTAAATGACATCACAATCTCAATCTTGTTACAATTTTCCAAAGTAGAAAAAAAAATGTCTTAGAGAAAAATGTCTAACAGTAGAGAATATAAGTCAAAAAACATACTGTATCTTCTTGACTATAAGTCGCTGCTTTTTTTCTACTAGACTTTTACTTGATGAAAAGTACAGCACGTGCTCAAGAGTGGAATTGCCTAAAGACTCAAAAGTGACACAGAGTGACAACGACAGAGAGACGGAGGAAGTGTGAGCCTGCTTAATTCCAACGCTGCAGACAAATACTTTAGTGGTTTTTAGTGTGCAAGAGGAGGATGAAGACAGCGATCAATGATTCTTCCTGCTAGGCCCAAGTATTTTCTTAAGCAGCCATGTTACAGGCATTGTTGAGAAAAAGCATTTAAGGTACAGTCATCAATACATATTTCATTAAAAGTAAAGAAAAAAATATATATTTCTGTGGAAATATCTCATGCTACAACATGGACACCTGCAGCTTACAGACAAGTGCGGCCCATCTATGCACACTTTTTTGTCTTTTCAAAGTTAGGGCCAGAAATTAAGATATTTGAAATGTTCACTTTTTTTTTTGTCAAACTTTGCGGAAATTATGACAAGCATTGTTGACATTATGTAAGGACTCGAATTACAAGCAAGGGTCCCAGAGAAATCTTGACCTGTCGATTTTTGAATAGCTAGTTCTTTGATTTGGAGGTAATTTACAGGTATTTCTGGACAATGTTTAAACCACATTGGATTCATTTATTTGCAAATATATATTATCTGTCCTCTAACACAAATGTAAAATGATGGAATTACAAACAAAAAAAATGTTTTGACTAAAATAAAATAACTTTTGTGACATTTTTACATAGCTGTTTGCAGGTGGAAGAAAGCAGTTGTAACAATTGATCTTAGTCACCAGTACCACTGTGTTGATTAGGTAAACACCAAATGATCAATAGCCATGCAACAAAAAAATCATTTAATGACATTTTATGAAGTGTCCTTATGTACAAATGACACTAAAGAATGTAATGGCACATAACAGTCAATTTTGTCAAAACTGCCACTAAATCACACACACACACACACACACACTCATTTGTGTGATTCAGGAAGCAGGTCATGTTTTTCCAGGTCCTGAGAGCAGGGACTTCCTTTGCCAAAGGGCCAAATTCCACATGGTCCATGACCATTAACCCACCCAGGGTGACTCAGACCCCCCACGTCCCCTTCGCTTCACAACAACCATGCACTCTGCATAGAGTGAAAGTCTTGACTTCACAACCATGTGCTAGGCCTGTGTCACTGCCACGAGACTTCTAGAAACATCAGAAGAGTACGCCGGCTCCGTTTCTGCCAGGGATATGTGAATTTTTATTTTAGATTCCAAAGATGTGCAAAGAAAGCGAAACTAACACGAGGGGTACATATGCTAAACTAAAAAAAAAATAACAATAATAATGAAATTGGTTGTTTAGCGTTACTTTCCCACTTAAATTCATCATAATAGTCACATTTTATAATATCATCAAGGAAAATGGGACAGGTCATGTTGATCTCGTTCACCCAGCAGGCATTCGAGAATGAACTTTTAACTTGATGTCTGTGGCTGTCAACACTGAAAGTTTGAATCCTGAAAGGATTCCTGAGCTTTTATGTGAAATTTGAGTTGACAGAGAATTTCACCACAGAATTGCTTGATATGCGACATTTATAATGGATACAAAGTATGTGATTTTACACAAATGAGAATATGTTATCCTGGTGTTGTTACCACTGCAGCATGTTAGATCAAGGCAAATTTCTTGTGCGTAGCTTTACGTGACCCCCTAGTTCAGTTCAGTACAGCAAACAGAGAAATAAATCAGTGCCACAACCATTGCTTTTGACTTGGTATGCACTTAATGAGCTTTTTGAACACTCATTAGAATCCACACCCAACCCCCCCTAAACTCACACACTTTCATGAGCTTTTCACCCCCCTTCCGCAACTCTGAAGCGTGTGCCAGCCCACTATTGTCTGACAGTGTGGAGACATGCAGCTGCCTGCCGTCTAGTCTCCTGAAAACCAGAAAGAGAATCGGTGACACACTGGCACGAGAAACAGGGGTTAGTGGTGCAGAGGGGGGTGATGGAGACACACAAGGCAAAGGCAACAATTGTCATGCAATTTGTATGTGTGTGTGTGGACCAGTCATAAAGAAGTCCACTCCTAAGTGTCTGTTATGGAGACCTGGACAGTCAAAGTGAGTCAGGTTGTGTTTGGAGTGTGCTGGAATTCAACCAGAGGTAGAGGGAGGTGAAGAGTTTACGCTGCTCCTCTGTTTGGCATCTTTAAGTTCCAATCTGAGCTATAATTGATGACGTTATTGCAGTTCAGGTAGGCATGGGCAATGGTCGATTCAGACGACATTGATCGATTGTGATCTCTGGCTGAATTATTGCTGCATCTCTGTAAATCAGTCAGGCTCGTCCGCTTTGGGGGATTCTGGGCTTCATGGCATAGCAGAGATGCCACCCATGGCTTTGACAGTTGTAGTTTTAGAAATGTGTTCCCTTAATAAGAGTGATGGTTGGGATTCCTCTAGTTTCCAAACCATGACCGTTCATGTTTTTTTTTTCCTCTCGTTTTTTTTTTTTTTTAAATACTTCCAAGGAGCTGAATTTGCCTTTAGTATGGAACGTAAAAGTGTAAAATAACCTTCATTCAGCCAGCTGGTTGGAAGTGCACAGCAACGGGTGTGTGAGGAACAGACAGACGCCTCCTCTATAAAGCCAGAGAAAACGCTGTGCTTATTCTAGAGGCTCGTTAAAAGAACTTTGAACTGCAGGAAAAGTGCGATGAAAGATTTCAGCAGATTTGACAATGCAGATTCTTGTAATTGATCAACACCTATTTTTAGGGGGCGAGGTAAGCTTTAGCTTGTCCATGCTTTACTATTTTTTGCTAACTGGAGGTGCCTGGAAACAAGTTAGTCAGTAGCTGATGAAAGTCTGGACCCTATAACAAAAGTTAATAGGCACTTTGTACTGCCTCTTTTACTCATTCAACCCAAATCGGTGTTGTTCCTGGTTGGCAGCATAGTTTGGGCCTCTCACTGGCCCAGATCCAGCAGACCACAGAGGAGGGAGGACAACTTTGCCCACGAATGACATGAATAACAGCGAAGATACAGTGATCCATGTCCGGCCTCGGGTGATGAAGCTGGACAGGAACTGCTCATCTTCAGATCTACCACACGCCGTTCTGTTCTCGGTCCCAACGTGGTTTTCTGGTCCGTTTCTCAGCTCAATCTGTCCTACATAAAAATACATTCAAAACATTTTTGACCAAATCTGGCCAAACCCGCTGAATCAGAGCAAACCTGGGATATCAGCAGTGAAGTGAAGCTAGACCGCAGCCAAGCATGCCGACACTTGGAGTCAGCTGCAGCTGGACGAATTTACAGCAATTTCTTGGATATAAAAAAAATTACCAGAAAAAAGAAAACAGCGCCGGTGTAACACTGTTCTACTTAACTTGTAAAAAGAAGAAGAAGAAGAAGAAAAGAAGAAAAAAAAACATTTTAGAAACTTTTATGGGTCTCGCTTATTTTTAGGACCTTTAACAAATCCATACGTTTAGTTATCGGCTAGTTTGAACAGTTCAGGATGAGCTCAGAATCTGATTCTTTGTGTAAACTACATTTTTAAAAAAATGAAAAGAAATGGGACATCTACCGAGCCCTGCAGAGCCGTTTTCTTTCTGTTCTCACTGAAAGCCTGTATGAACTGCAAACTGGAAGTAGTGCTCTCGGAAATCATCGCGTTAAAATGACAGCCGTCTCCCCCTGTTTTAATCTTTCCCACTGGTCTTAAAATCTTCGCGATGACCCGTATCAGGCTTCGGTAAAGTATTGAGGAGAACAGACCCGGGATCTTTGCACTGGTTTCCCGTGCCTGGCCTCCGTCCCCGTTATTTCACCGTGTTTTTTTTTGTTTTTTTCCGGGTAAAAAAAAATAATAATAAAAAAAAAAATCAGAGCCAATGCTGTTATTGCTTAAGCCTTTGACGCCACTCACCTGAATAAACTGGATAGTCAAGGCTGATTTCCCGACGCCACCGCCTCCGACCACGACCAGACGGTACTTCTCCTGCACCGAGCCGTCCTTCCAGCCAGCCATCGAGGACACTTCGCGCCGCCGCCGCTGCTGCCGAAACACCAGTGAGCAGCAAACACCCACTTTCCCCCAGTAAGCTGAAGAAGACGAGGCCCTGCAGTGGAGGCACCAGAGCGCAGAAGAGGGGACAGGCCCGTGTGTGCGCTGGAATAACTCGTCAGTGTCGTCCGTCCACTGTTCGGGTGGTGGTCGGAGAAGGATGAAGGAGCTACGGCCGCCTGTCCATACGCCTGACCGCTTTCCAGGCTCGACAACACTGCGCTGCTCAAGATGTGGGTCCGATACTAGGAGTAATCAAACAGGCCAATACTACCGTCTACCGCTAGGGGCAATGGAGACTCCCCCAGGCACACTTTTACGCTCACTACAGCCCTCCCAATATCATGCACCCATCAATCACATTCATGTCCCCAAAGTCATGTTTTCTTGCTCATAATTTAAATCTAAAGCAGTATAATAACCCGAGTAGTCAACTTTTGAGCAGAGTTTGGAGTGAGACAAGTGTCCGGGTGGGGTCGACGTTTTAAAACGCGAGGATGAACAAATTTAAGCCAGACTAGTTTTAACTCTGGGTCACATTAATAAACAAACAAACAAACAAACAAACAAACAAAAAAGAACCAAAACATTAAAGCTGAAAAAATAACTAAGGTTTTATAAGTTTCTCTAAATGTTATGTAATAAAAAGTATATTTCTCATACATCATTTACTGTTCATCCAAATAATTACAAACCACATCTCAGTTTATTCTAAGTATCTGTTATCACTGCATAACAAACGTTTCATTTCATTTTCAGCAACTTATATTAAACTCGAAAATTAGATTGAAATTCCTATGCAAGACTAACTTTACAGTGTGCAAAATCAGTTTGTATGTCATAAAAAAGAATCATGTTTTAAGTTATGACAAATCATGTGGCAGGTCCCAACTCACGTCTGCTGTAGCGCCACCCAGTGTCAAGAAGGGAGAAACTCTGCTGTACAGATGCTTAGTGGTAAGTTTAGAAATGTGTTGTTTTTTTTAAGCAAATTCATATGATTTATATAAGCATTTCCACTGTCGGTAAAAATTAACTTGCATCTTAGCTTAACTTCTGGGCCACAGAAGTGTTTTTGCAATAAAACGCAGTATTTCTTGTGAAGAATGTTAAATTATCTTTTAAAGTGTAAAATATTTCTGAAAAACAGAAGTTGTTTCAAACAGACCAAAGCAGTTTGCTCTTCCATTTTGGTAGCGACACTCACCCTAAGATTGATATGCACACTAAATAAATAAAAATAGAGACTCCACTTTGAACACAGTTGCTGGAAAGCTGCAGAGCTGCCAGACGGCCCACTGTTTATTTTCACAGCTGAAATTCTGACCTCAAAGCAACCTTGCTGCCTTTATCTAACCCCCTGGAGGGACAGGTTCTCCAGATACTTTAACTGTATGAGCAGGGCTGTGACCCTGTGGCCAGTTCCCAGAAATGTACCTTTACTCATGAATTATAAACAGGAGGGCAATATGGAACATTGACACCTGCGCAAATGCCGTCTCCATCTCATTAACACAGCAATACCAAAACTTGCAAATTGCTGATTATATTCTAAGCAACTGCATCATATTCTACGTGAACCACATGTATGCCTTGGATTGGTGTTTTAGTCCCTGTCGGGGTACTGACAGGACAAATACCAACTGGTTTCACACTGTGCAAGATACCAAGAGAGGAATGTGAGGAATTCTAATTAGTACCTGGAGATATGAAGCTAGACAGAGTTCTCTCTCTTAAGGGTCACAACCAGGGGCAACTGTGGCTCTGTGGGTAGAGTAGTTGTCTTGTGATTGGAAGGTTGTAGGTTTGATTCCAGCTTCCTCCTGCCACATGTCACTGTGCCCCTGGGCAAGGCACTTAACCCCAAATTGCCTACCGATCGGTGTATAAATGTGTGAGCGTTTGTATGGGTGAATGTTTCTCCAGTGTAAAGCACTTTGAGTGGTCAAAATGATTGGAAAAGCGCTATGTAAGTTCAGTCCATTTTATAACCACCTTTAGGCAACTGAAACCATTCTGTGGAATCTGTTATAAACATTTATTTAATTAGAGGCAGTTGTAACTTCAATATATGTTTATTGAAAATGAACAAGGACAGAAAAAAAGAAAACAGTTGTAGCGTTTAGAGAAATGTAAAAAAAAAAAAAATGGGGGAGAGGGGGACAAAAACAGCAAAGTATTAACAGTACTGACTTCTTAGGGTGATGCAAAGGTGGCAAAACAGATGTCAACAGAAAAGCAGACATATCAGATATTAGCCTTCTTTTGAGAGAGGTTGATCTTATCACCGAGGCTCAGTGCCATTCCCTGTGGAAAGAAAATATTTTATTACAACACAGAAAACAGGAACATGAAAAATAATGTAAAAATAGGTAAGACGTTCTCACATTCCTTATTTGTACCCATTTCTACATTGAATTATTACTTTAATATTGAGCTATAATACAAAGTATCCATATGGCTTGAATTCAGAGTCAGTAAATTCAGTCAAGCTTTTAGTTCCCAGATTAATACCAAGTCAGTGCACAGCAGCTGTGACCCACCTGACTTTTGGCCCTAATGCGTATGTGTCCGGTGACAGGTGCGTCGGGCCCCAGGTGAATGGGCTTCTCGATGCTGACGTTAGCCAGGGCATCTTCCCCAAAGATGGAGCGAGCATACAGGTTGGCGGCCATGAAGCCACAGAAACCAGAGAGTGCCTGATTTATTTCAGAAAACAAAAGAACAGAGAATGTGAAGAGAAACTCTTCAGCAACGACTCAATAATACTACCTAAAATGGATAGCTCAGGGATGACAAATACAAGAGATTACAAGCAAGCAAATACACAAACATCCCAAAAAGAGTTATGTTTTTTTTTTTTTTTTTTAAATCAAGCAGAGGACAAACAGCTTGTTGAGTTTTGTGTTAATAGTAACTCACCTTTTCAGGAGTCAAACACTTCATGTTAGTGGACTTAAGGATATGCTGAAGATATTCATTCAGATCAGTGATGTTGGTGTTTACTGTCACCTACAATCAAGACAGGTTTTGGAATTACTTGTTAAATGGAAACAGCATTTCTTTAAATAAGGGGGGGGGTGCACTTGAAATTTCAAGAAGCTGTTGATCTATCAGGCAAAGCTTACCTTGTTTTCCCATTCAAACTCTGCCCACATCTGTCTGAACTCTGCATCTGTGCAGGAGGCTGGCTGGATGTAATCCATGATGTCAATATGAATGTCGCTGAGGACAACACAGTTTCTGTCGCTAGCAGCTCCGGACACATCATAGACTGTGGAAAAAGAATCAAATTTAAAACCACACACCAGTAAAAACATAAATTAACTTCCTGACATTGCCTTCTTACCGATGTTGCCAAATATAATCCCATTCTCGGTAGAAGCTACCTTGACATTAGCCTTTATGTTTGCAAAATCATGAGGGGCCAGAGTTAGAGGGGAAGGTTTTTCAACCAACTTCAGATCCCCTGAGGAATAAAATAAAACGCTCAATTTAGAACAAGAACACAGAAAAAGGAAACAAAACCAGTTTCTGCAAATGAGAAGAGAGGTAATAAAACAAACCTAAAGTGGCCAACTCAAGAGTGCAGTTCTGAAGAGTGTCACTTGTTTGGTTGACCACCAGCACATCCAGCACAATGTCATACTGGTTAACATGGACATAGGCTTCAGCGTACACTGGGTCTGAGAAGCCAGTCAGCTGGGTCACCTAGTTTAGAAAAAAATGTATTTAATCATCATGTCTGATGCAATTACTGAAATATCCTTCCAATATTTTGAGCAGATTTTACAAACAGCACAACAAAATATCCAGGAGCAATTCATTATACATTTCATACCGTAACCTACAACTTGAAAAATACAACCATGTATCAATAGTTGTGCAACTTTTCCTAATGTCCAAAAATTACAGCGCCCTCTGTGGTTAATGAATAGACAGGAGAGCTTTTCAAACAACTCGATCTCTAGTGCCAAACTGTATGCTGCTCAGCAGGGCTTTGTGGCTTACCTTATTGAGTTTTGATGCAAGTGGGTCAGCAGCCTCCTTCCTCTGGGTGTTACCCATAGCAGCCAGCAAGCTCAGCTGAAACTGGTCCTCCTTAGAGGTCATCTCATTTTTGGCTGTGAGTTGCATGAAGGAGATCGGGTCGTCTGCTTGCACAGTCACGTTTCGTTTCTCGGATTCTTTCTGTGATCAGGATTAGAAATGCATTAGGGATCAGCCTTTATCTGCTTCACGATCATAGCTTTGAAATGTGTTGTGTACTACCAGAGCATAGTTCAAAAATATCTGGAGACACTGGCTCATTTTAGGTAACCGACAAAGTATGTGTTCAAACTTTAGAATGATGCAGAAGATACTTGGATGATACTAGGTGAAATACTGCTGTTATCACTTTCTATAACTCTCATCTGTGACTATAATTCTATATTGTAGTTAATAACATGATCTAAGAGCAAGAATAGAGGTGTCAAAACAAACTGCCTACAAATATTGCTTTTGTTAAAAACAGAAGAAATTTCAGTGATCATCTTCCTGTCACTGAGAAATGAATAAAAATGATTTAGAATTAAAACATGTACCAAAATGATTGTGACCAGAACTGTTAAAGGGCTCTAGTGGCATCTTTATTAATATAATAAAAAAGGACACACAGTTGAAAAAATTGAATGTTCAACCAGATTTTGGCAGTCTTATCAAAATGTTGATCAAATTTGGATGTTAATACCCATCTTTTTTTCATTATTCTCATAAAACTATCGAGAAATAAATTATTTCAAAACAACAGATTATTCAGCTAAAATAAAGCACATCCTCGAAAAAGCAAAAATGTTCAACATAAATTTCCTTTTAAATCTAAAACTATATTCAAGCTCCTCTTCTAAATCTAGTTTAAGACATTTTTCTTTTCGAACACATGTTTTTATTATTGTAAATCTATAAAGTTCAGCACTTTGGTCTGTGCTTCCTTTTTTAAAAAGTGCATGACGAATCAAGTTGACTTCAGATAAAAAAAGAAAAAGAAAAAAAAAACAAGAACAGGAAAATGTGATTTCTTCCTGAGCCTATGATTCTGAGGAGGTTAAATACAGAGTTCAGCCCAGTGACTCAACCGCCATTACCTTCTGTGACAGCTTCTCCTCCTCCAGCCTGACGGTGAGCATATGCGACAGGGATCTGCGGCACTCCTTGTTGAAAATGTCATTCATAAGTGGTGAGCACTCTGACAGAACCTTCAGGCACAATGAGATGCGGTCCACATCATCATCTGTAA